TTTATATATATATATATATATATATATATATATATATAAAACAAGGCCTTTCTTTTTTTGGGCCTCTTTTTTTCCTTTTTAAATTTTGTACTTTGTTTCAAACTTCTTCCTTCATGGCTTTTTATTTTTATATAATAGGCCATGATCTTTATGAGAAGTGCTAAATGCTGAATGCAATTTCTCTTTAAAAAAATAGAAATGCAACAATGTTTATAAGTGTGTAATACTATCTCTTCTTTATGAATTTCTGTCTGCTTCAATTTGGTTGTCTTAGTTCAATTTGAAACAAAACTTAAGAAAATAGGGGTGTACATGATCGGGTTAGTTCGAGTTTTTCAAATATCAAACCAAACTATTTGTGTTGGATTTTTAAATCTATAAACCAAATCAAACCAATAAAACTCGGGTTTTTCAACCTCGGGTTTTTTCGGATTTTCGAGTTTTTTCGGGTTTTTCCGATAAAGTATTCATACAAACATATAATTTACTTGTACTTCAAATATTTCTTTAGTCCTACCAAAATACAATTATCTAAGGTGTTTCTTAAGAAAATAACACAAAATATGATATGAGTAATGACACTAGAATATCCAACAAAAAAATAATAATAATGAAATCGCGTTAAGACAAATATTGCAAATTAACAAGTCATAATGAAAATGATCATAATTTAAAAGTACTAAATCATGCTAAAATAAGTTTAATAAGTATTAGTTACATGACTAAATATTAAAGGAAATTAAAATTAGATTATGTATTTGAATTGTCTAAACCAAAGAACAAATATTCAATATTATTGTCATTCTTAGTGTTGAATTGATTTTCTTTTTGCATTAGTATTAATTTGATTTTGATTTAAGCTTTATTACAATTACCAACATCTGTGGACTATAATCTTTATTGAACCATTCAGAATCTAAGTTTCAAACTTGAAATAATATATTAAAAGATAAAAACTATGAAAACGTATAAGAAATATTTAAAAATTATATCAAAGTAAATATTTTTATGTATAAAATAAAATTTTAAATTATATATATAATGTCGGGTTGGTTTGGTCTCGGATTGGTTTTTTTAATTAGTTAAAATCAAATCAACCCAAATATAGTCGGGTTTTTTTTTTCAATATCATACCAAGTCAAACCAACCACTAGTCGGGTTTTTTTTCAATATCATACCAAGTCAAACCAACCACTAGTCGGGTTTTTTTTCAATATCATACCAAGTCAAACCAACCACTAGTCGGGTTTTTTTTCAATATCATACCAAGTCAAACCAACCACTAGTCGGGTTTTTTTTTCAATATCATACCAAGTCAAACCAACCACTAGTCGGGTTTTTTTTCAATATCATACCAAGTCAAACCAACCACTAGTCGGGTTTTTTTTTCAATATCATACCAAGTCAAACCAACCACTAGTCGGGTTTTTTTTTTTTCAATATCATACCAAGTCAAACCAACCACTAGTCGGGTTTTTTTTCTCGGTTTGACTCGGTTTGAGGTTCGATTTTGTACACCCCTATAAGAAAATATAAAAATAAATAAATTTTGTAGTATATAATCTACCAAAATGTTTTTTGAATCTTGTGGTCTGAAATATAATGATGTTGAATGTAAAGAGTTACTAAATATAAAAGTGATATTATTTGTTAAGCAAACTAACAAGAAAAGTAAGACAAACAAATCAAAATGAAGAGAGTACAAAATTTTAGTCATGAAAAAAAAGAAATTTGAGTCCCTAACAAACTTTGCATGCATGAATTAATCATAATGGTTAGTTTACTCTACGATGTATATAATATAAAGTTATAAACAACACTGTCAGACCATATTTAAAAAGCTACACCACATAGGTTATTATTTTGGAATGTACAAATGATTAGACAAAAAGTTAACCACTTAAACATTGCGTTAATTAACTAATAATTTTTGTAATGATATATTAAGACAGTAATGTGAAGATTCGAAAGTGTGTCAAAAACTTGAAGTGACATCTCTCAATATGTATGGCCATCACAAAATGAACCATTCTAACGTCATTCTGGTGAATGCACATATATTCTCCATGATATAACTAAAATAAAGGCCACTTTTAAGTTTATATTCTCACTGTCGTCCCATTAACATATTTAGAACCTTTTTTTTTCTTTCCTTTTGAGTATTTTCTTTGGATAGCATAAAAAGACGTAAAAGGGTCACAAATGTCCTTAGCTTAAACTATGAGAAATTGAATTAAAATGTGCTTAGTTAATAGATTGGTCTAAAATTTTCATGTGAGTTTCATTATTAAGCTACGGATTATATGAAAATCCAATTATCTAGGAGCTATTTTAGTGACAGATTAGCTGGGATTATCGATAAATTTTGTAGCTAATTCCATATCTGCTAGTATTGTTAATGGATGACATTTTTGTTCAATTTCACATAGTTTAAAGTCATTTTTTCTATCCTTTTCTGGAAAAAATATATATGGAGGGACACTATATTAATTTTCGGCAAGCCATCTAAGTTGTTACCCTAAGTTTATTTTCAACTTTGAAGATCAAACAGATAATTGTTATATATATATATATAATAATATTGACTTAGGATTTTTTTTTTAAATTTTATTTTTTAGGATTAATGGTCAGGTTTAGACAAACATCTATCACGAGAGATGATTCTGATCCATTTTGAATAATAATTATGTCATTCACCGAATCCACAAGGCGAACACTCAAATGAGCAAGCATGTGAACATCACGAACCAACTCCTTCTTCTCCTTCTCAACACGAGTGACATTATTTATAGACAACCTACTGAGAGCATCTACCACTACATTGGCTTTACTTAGATTGTATACAATGCTCATGTCATAGTCTTTCAACAACTCAAGTCATCTCCTCTTGCGAAGATTCAAGTCCTTCTGATTGAACACATACAGAAGACTCTTATAGTTTGTAAATACATCCACGTGAACATCATAAAGATAGTGTCTCAAAATCTTCAAGGTGAACACTAATGCTGCTAACTCGAAATCATTAGTCGGATAATTCTTCTCATGAATTTTGAGCTACCAAGAAGCTTAACTTATA